AGCAGCAGTGGGATTACTGACTTTAAAACCAAAAATCTAAGTATTTAGAAGTATGCCCCAAACAAAATGAATCTTTCTGTACTGCTAGCTCATGTTTACTAAGATCTGATAATTTTTTTATCACTTTGATCAAAACAAGCCAACCTACTGTGGAAAAATGTATTGGGTTAGTTCTGAACTAAATCAAAATTATTTTGTCTGCTGTTTCTGTTTAAGATTATTTATAGTAATAGCTTGTACTAGTATGGATTATTAAAGATATACTCTTTACCCATACCTTTTTTGCTTTCTGGAAGTCTCTTTACCTCCTTCCTTTACCAAGTTAACCATTCCATTCCTTATGCCTGAGGAAGGCCTTTTCTGATCTTCCCAAACTGCATTAAGGTCTCCTACTGTATGTGTTCATAGAATCATGCAACACTTTTCACAGCCCAGTCTTTAGCATTGAACTCTACTGTGTTTTTGTTCATCACAGAAATCTAATATATAACATGGTGCTTTCCAAATAATGGGCACTCAAAATACTTGAGGAGTAAATGAATATAGTTTTCTTGATAGGCAAAAGAGGATAGATATGAGATATTTTTTCAGAGATATTTGTTTTAAATATAGTCATAGCAGTTTAGGTATATCTGAAAACTACTGTAAGAAATACCTGTTGATATTAAATAATGTAACAACTAGTACTTACAATTGTTGTATTTATTTCTAATATAAGATTGTGAAAATAGCCATCAAAGTAATTCTGCTTGGTGGTAGAGAAAACTGTATCCTTGGAAATAATTGCAAATGTGCATTTCAACTTCAAGTCAGGGTTACTTGTTAGTACTTTAAAAACAGTGTCTTAATGAAAAACTAATATTGTAAGTTTTGTAAGCTTGACTCAAAAACATATTAAATTATGATTAGTTTTGCAAAATTGAGACATGGCATTGGAAGTAAATTTCTATCTTACAGTGCACAATATCCTACTGAGTGGATTGTGTCTCAGCTGTGTCTTGCCTCCTGAGATTCCTTCCCTAAACTGGTTTTCCAGTCTTGTTATCTATTCTTTCAGTACTCATCTAATAAATTTATTTTCTGATTATAATTACTAGTGTCAGTTGTTTTCTCTATTTTCAGCTAATAACCCTGACTAGCATAGACGCTGAAGAAGATTCTGATTTGCATATGCTCCTAGAAAAGGCAGGCTTATTTGTATGTACATCTGATAGGGCTCCCAGGACACCAGTGAAAAGTACTCTGGATGGATAGTTGGTGGTAGAAATCACAGAACTTGTAAGGCAGATTGATAGGGCAAAGAAATGTTTGTGTGGAACAACTCTTTAAGTCAGTGTTGAGAATTCCTAAGAATGAAGTATTGGCAGGAAATACTTTCATTCCATAAAACAAAGGATTAATGTCCCGAAGAAAGAACATTTTATAAGCCAACAAAGAAAGACAAAAAATGTAAAAGGAAAGAAAACCATAGGAAAAATATGAATGACTATACACTGACAATGAAATTCATTTGATCAATTGATATATGAAAAGACAATTTACCACACTTGTAATCAGTGAAATGTAATTTTTAATTCAGATTAGCAAAGATGAACAAACCACACATGTGTATGAGAAGCATATTGTGTGTAAATTGGGATAGCCATTCCTGAGATGGCTTGGTTATCTTAAATAAAATTAAAAATGAGTATAAAATATGGTCCAAGAATCCCCCTTTTAGGCATCTTCTGAATAGAAGCACTTATATATGTGAAAAAGAAGCGTGTAACCCCCCCAAAAGGAGATAAATATTGATGAGGATATAAATATTTCTGCACATTGCTGGTGAAAATATGAGATGATGCAGATACTTTGGAAGCAAGTTTCTCAGTATTAAACATTGAATTACTATATCTAGTAGTGCCGCTTCTGGAACATATCCAAGAAAAAATAAAAACATGGTCTATACAAAATTTGTACATTAATATTCATAGCAGTGTTATAATAATCATAAAGTAGAAACAACTGATAAATAGGTAAACAGAATATGGTGTACCCATGCCATGGAATACCATTCAGCAATAAAAAGGAACAAAATATTGAGACCTGCTACACCATGGGTAAACCTCAACGTGATAAATGGAAGAAGTGAGATATGACCTTATATTGTTTGATTTTACTAACAAAAGAAAAGGTAAATTTGTAGAGACAGATTAATAGTTTATGAGAGAAGTGGAAATATGGAGTGACTGCAAATGCACATGAGGTTTTTGGGGGGGCAGGGTTAATAGAAAAAGTTCTCTAAAATTGAGTAGTATTAATGATTGCACAACTCTAAATTCACTGAATTATGTACTTAAAACATGAATTATATGGTACATAAATTTCAGCTCAAAACTAAAATGCTTAATATCTATATATGCATATTGTATATATATTTGTCTATATATTGTTTATATGTATATATCCTCAATCTACCACTTTTGCACTGTACCCCCAGCCCATATTTTCAGAGAGGGTCTCACTAAATTGCACAGACTGGGCTCAAACTTGTGATACTCCTGACTCAGCCTCCCAGAGTGCTGGAATTACACGTGTGTGCCATCATATCTGGCTTCTTTATAAGTAACAGCATAGCCTGAGAAGGTAGACCAGCATTTGTGTGGGGGGTAGCTGGATGAAATGATGGCTAGAGGCATATCATGATGTTAGAGATAAAATGGAATCGAGGTGGGTCATGATTTATGTTATCGAATTAGTTGTAATAGTGGTAACTGCAGCTAGCCTTAAAGACCATCAGTAGAAAACCCAGTTAAAAAATAAGCTACATTTTAAAAAAGGAATTTGGGGCCGGGGATGGAGCTCAGTGGCGCCATGTCTGCTGGGCAAGCGCAAGGTCCTTTGTTTGATTCCCATACAGGAAAAAAAAAATTAAAAGAATTTGCAAAGGGATATATAGAGCATGGCACCATCCAAATATATTTTTTTAAAACAACGGTACTGTATATATTTTCTGTACAACCATGTGTGTATAGTATAAAAAGCAGACTTGCGGGCTGCAAGCAAATGCAGAATAATGGTTGCTTCTAAGAAGTGGAATAGACAAATCAGTGAGGATAATACTCAGAAGGGCTGCTATTGTTATTTGTGATATTCTAATTTCCAAACAAATATATTCAAAATTGTATAATTAAAAAAAGAAAATAACACTAAGAAGAATCAGGCAACCAGTGAGTCCGTGAACAAGAAGAGGCTAATGTCCCCGAGCAAACCCAGCCGATTCACAGAAGAGCAGGAGATCAATTGTCCCAAAGGCTGCTAATAAATTGTCTCAATGAGGACTGCCGAGTGGCCATTTGATTTAGCAATGTAAAGGTCAACAGTGACTGTGACGAGAGATACTTGCGGGAAAAAAGTATAAAAACAATAATTGTCTTGAAGCAAATATTCTGAAATATTAACAGTAGTACTTCTGGTTATGGAGAACAAAAGAAAAGAAAACCAAAATCTAAGAAACAAATAGAACCATCATTGTCTTTGGTTACCTAATGTAAAGTTGTAAAGTGAAGGAGAAGAAAAGTCAAAACAATGGCAGTGATAACTCTGTGAGCCTAAAGCAGACTGGGACAGCAGTGAGAGAACAATGCTGCCCTTTAAAGTCACCAACCTTCAGAACAGTGTCAGTGACCGCAGTAGGGAGTCCTACAATTCTGCCTGGAATCAAAGGGGTCTTAAGAATCACCGTATTTTATTGGCAGGGTCTACAATGTTATAGTAACCCTTCCAGAGTAAAATACTTAAATTTTTATAGCCACATGACACATTCTTACCACTCTCTTCTATTTCTTATTCAACAATAATCTTCACTTATTAAATTTTTCTCTTTTTCATACCTACTTCTTCAGTTGAAGTGGGAAGTCACTTTGATTAACTAGCAGCTCTTAAAAAAAATAAGTTTAGGGCTGGGGATTTAGCTCAGTGGTTCCACTGCCTGCCTCGCAAGCGTAAGGTCCCGAGTTCAATTCCTGGTACCAAAAAAAAAAAAAAAAAGCTTATATATACATATACAGAGTAGTTCATGTATGAAATAGTAGAAGAATCTAAAAATTGCTCTTGTTTTCTGAATATATATTTAATGAATTTCTTACTTGTAGGTGGCAGCAACCCAAGTCAAACTGATTGAAACAGAAAGGGAAATAATTTTCTAAAGTAACTTCAAAGTTCAAGTGGTAAAATGGATTTCAGGGGTTGCAGTATCTAAGAACTCACATGACCATTAATTTATGTCTCTTCCTGTGTCTCTCTGCCTCTATCATCTCTTTCTCTTACCATATTGATATGATGGTTCTTTCATTGTTTAGAAGCTGGAGCTGGAAGTCATTGAAATCTTCCTCCTGGGAAACTTATTTCCATGACCATGCTTGCAATTAGAAATGTATATTCTAAATATCATAGAAACAATCCAAGACTTTAGGAACAGGGAGTCCAGGAAGCATATTTTATAGCTTTTTAAGCTCGTAATATTACAGAAGGGGAATGAGAAATGTGCAGAATGAGCCACTTTGCAGTACCAAATGTCATTCACTGTTTTGGTCCCTTACCACCTCTTTATACCCTTCTACTGATGGTTCCAAATGACAAGGGCAATCGCAGTGTACTACACCAGAGTTAATGCTACTGTCTTTCATATAAATGAGAATACGCTCAACTTTTAACGAAAAAGAGAGATCCAGAATTTCATCATTCCTTGTATCAATTTCTGGGTGATAGTCACTCATGTCATTTAGTCATAGAATCACCTTGATTTCTGTAGCCCTGGTGCTACGTTATAATGTAAAATTTTGGGAGGGAGAGTGAAATATATATATATATATATAAAATCAGAACAATGACTAGTTACTATTACATTTATAACTTTATTGTTCACTTCATATTCCCACTGCCAACATATAAGCTGCTTTTCCATAGTATTAGTTCAAACTATCATTCTTAAGTCATTGAGACTTTCATTTTCTTTACAGGTGCTCATTGACTTATGATGGGGTTACAGCCCTATAAACACAATGTAAGTTGAAAATATTTTAAGTGGAAAAATGAATTTCATACACCTGGTCTACCAGATATCAAACATCATAGTTTAGCAATGCAGCATATGACAGAGTATCATTTGTTTACCCAGTTATCACATGGCATATTGGGAGCTAGGGCTTATTCGACTACCCAGCATCTCAAGAAAGTATTCTATTGTGTACTGCTAGCCTGGGAAAAGATGAAAATTTAAAATTCATAGTACAGTTTCTATTGAATGTGTATTGTTTCTGTACCATTGTAAAGTTCAAAAACCATAAGTTGAACCATGATAAGTCAAGGACCATTTGCATGGGATTGCTGAAGTCTTATCTGTTTTTACCCCTCAGTGAATATGGAAATTACAAGAAGGTACTTACAGGTTCTCCATTTCTCCCTGATTTCATTTTCTTGCAAAACACTGTCTCACTGATACCCAGGACTAATTACCCAAACAGTGATATTGCCCCATTTTTTCCTGTTACTTAAATGAAACGAGACCAGGATGCCCAGGTGGCACTCTCTGTGTCACTTAATTCAAAGGGTTCGTTGTTAGGTCTCCTTTGTAGAAGCACCCCTTCCATGGTTGCTAAGTGAGACTTCTAAACCATCAGAGTTCACAGTTTCAGGGACTGGAAGCAGAAATTTTTCAGGTGAATAATTAAATATGGTACTGTATTTCATTAATTCTAACAAATACTTTTTCATATTTTCTGTCTCTGATATTAGGATGTTTCCTGAATTTGGTGGCATCTTATAGTCATGGTCTGTCAGGCAGTTCTTGTGACATATTTTCATTGCTGCATGCATAAACATGAAGATGGATATCAGCAGCTTGGAGGAAAATATAGGAGGTAGTAGAAGAGCACTTCAAGAGATACTTGAGTAATAAATATCTCCAATATGTTATATCATAAAAACCCAGTAATGATTATAAGTAAAAAAAAATGATTTGGAAGTGTTAGTCTTCGTGAGAAATTTTAGAAATTTCTAAACCTTTTCTTTGGTTTTGTCATGAAATGTGTATACAAGAATAAAATAAAAATGTCTAAAATCTAGAAATACTTCTTTTAATAAAAATTAAAATTTAATAAAGTACATACTAGTTAATTGCTGGATTTTTTTCATTTTTCTTTGTGATATGGAAAATAATAATTCTTACAATTGATAGTTAGATTCAATGAAATAGAGCAGTGAAATCGACCACCCCATCTCCACCATCTGTTTCCAAAATATATTTTTATGATTGAAGAAATACTATTTATTGATCCCTGGCAAGCTTCTTTTGTATTTGAGCTATAATACTTTAGGGTATTTCAGGTTTTCTTGGCAGTAGCAAATCTTAAATAATTTTTGAATTAATGGTATTTATTAACAACATCTCCATTACTCTCCTGACCATTATGAATTTTATGTATCATTCTTATTGTTTGTGTTAAGCATGATTTAAAAAATCTTTTTTAAAACATGTTCTTATTCTCTTCATTAATTATATTATGAAACAAATTATTTTTATTCTGTTTGGAATTTTTCCCTTTTAATAATTTTGTGCTTTTGAATGGCCTGCATATTTTTTGTTATGCTTCATTTTTCTATGTAGGAATATTTTTATTGATTTTATGACTCATCTTAGTAATCTGATATCTCATTACATTTTAACCTAGATATTTTCTTTTAGTTTCTACATATGTAAATTAGATATTCCTCATATAAGTTCCAGTCAAGGGTCTGTAATTTTATACCTTTTTAACTGAAAAATGCCAAAGCTTTTCAAATTGTCTATTTCCATCTCAACTTCCCCTTAGTAGAATCTCCAAAATGCCTGCAGCCACTTCCACTAGCTCCTGACACAAGGGAAAGTATGAAAGAGTGAAGAGTTGACAACAGTTTTTACCATTGTATTTAATATCGTACATTTGTTAGTGTTACAAAAGCATAGATCATTGAGAACACAATGCTAGTGTCTCTTCTAAGGCATTAAAAGCTTCTCCTGAACTTGAGGAATCCTGAAATTGAAGCTTATTAAGTTTCTCAATAAATCTGCTGTGGACTCTTATTTTAGTTCCCTTTGTGAGGGAATACAATACCTTTTCTCTGTCTGCCTACGCTCCTTTTCTGCAGTCAGTGAGAAATGGATGCATTTTTCCCTGTTGTTGCAAATGGAGCTCTCCCTGGAAAAACTTTTTGCTCTGCCACTGGACAGAGGTGGCTTTATCATCTATTTAGTACCTTTCCATCTGGTGCATTTGTTGAGTACCCCAGACAGCTCCTAACTCAAGTAGATTATAGCGAATAGAGAATGTGTCAAATCTCTAAGTGGTTCCCTTGAAATCCCTCAGTGTAAGACTAGGGTGAAACACCTCTTCCCTAGATAGTGCTGCAACTCTCACAACTCACTCCACAACAATGCCTGGACACTTTAACCTCTCCCTGTGATGTAAATCTGCTAATATTGGCAGATACAGCTTTATAATCTTATTTTGTCTCTGTAGGTGACTTAGTCCATACCTGAGGACAGTTACCACTTACTGTTTTTTGTTTAAAAAGTCTGTCACCTGGTGGAAAAACAAAAAGAACTATTTTAATACAGGTTGGTGTTAATTATGTACTTCTAGTCTTCAGTTTTCTTCTTGGAATTTTTTTACTCAGTTGAGCAAACTTTTTTAGGGTTTATATACATAATCAATAGATCCATTGTAAACAAGTGAAATATGGAGAACAGTATGGTTTATCTGCCATATTAGACCATAGTTTCTAAACCTCTTTAAACAAAGTCAACATAAAAGCAACTTTTCTTTGATTTCACCTTGCCTATATAGTAATTCTTACTGACTTTACCAAATTAAAGATTACTTAATGCAACATTTGCTAATAATTCATTAAGTAATCAGTGAATTCAAATGCAATATTGAAATGATATGGAAGACTGTGGAGGACTTTATTTTTTTTGCAGAGTTATGTAAATACATTTATGGGGGAAGGTGGGAATTAGTCCCCTGGTATGGTTGTCTGTGAGAATTTTATAGTTTGATTTATAAATATGAAATAATGTTCCTGCATATTTCTAGTAGAATAAATTATTTGTAAAAGGACCCAAAATTGTTTTTCATATATTGCCCAAGCATAAGGTAATGACAATAAAAGATTATTCTGACCTTGTATATGAAGCCTGAATGGCCCCATTCTGCCACCTTCTGGCTGATTCCATATATAAAACTGCAGCAAGCTAAGAGTCCTCTAATTCTGGCACATTTGGCACAGATCATTTATTTGGGGGCCCGGGAGATTTAAAATGAGGTCAGCTTAAGCTATAACATAGTCCTATTGCCTTAGGCTCACATTTATTTCTTAGTTATAAAATGCTTCTAGAGGTTATCAGAATAGAATATCACATGGTGATGTGTGAAGCAATTTCCTGTATAGTATGTAGTTATAACCACTTTTTTGACTTCCACAGCACTAATTTTTCAGATATTTTTTGATATTAAAATGGTGGAGAGGGGAATGGGAAGAAAAATTATTAAGATGTGATATGTATATGTATCAATTCCCCAAGATGAATGTAATTATTATGGATCATAAACATATACTAATAAAATAATTACTTAAAAATGTTATCAAGCTTATTAGCCATTCATCACAGAATAAGAAAATTGTTTGAAGAGTGAAATAGAAATGAGGGGTTCTAAAATTGCTGCCAATCTCATAAGAAAAGTGTTGGGTTCAGTAATCACTTACTGAACTGGAAAATAAACCATTCTCATGTTAACAAACCTTCAAAACTTTATATTCCTGATTTTGTGACACTTCATTGTATTTCTGCATGTTCAAAGTATTTCCTGGTTATTATAAAAAAAACTTGAGGGAAGGCTTAATACTTTCAAAATGTAATTTATTTAAAAGAAATTTGATACACTTCTTGAGGATATAGGAACGAGGAATAAAAGTACTTTATAGGATAGTACAATTTTATGACATTTTACAAGATAGTTAACCTCTTAGTGCCTCTGGAAAATGGAATAATAGCACCTAATCCAAAGGTACATTGTTTTGAAGAATAAATTTCTGACGTATAATAAGTTGGCATTATAATCACCAATCTTCAACTGCCAACAATGTATTACATGATCTTATATATTTTATAAGTAGATTCCAAAATATACTACCTAGTAAGTTTTATATTTTCTTACTGGTTTATGTCGAATATTAAAATAAAGAAATGAAAATAATGGAAAGGCATAGTTCACTAAAGTAGTGTAGAAATACATGTAATACAGAGTGGCCTAGTAAGGGTTCTGTATTTCTGTCTGTGACACATTTTTTACTTGAGATACCCAAAACTCACATAAAAGAGCTGTGATGTCTGAGAAATGAATTAATTCAAAAACATTTCTTGAATGCTATGTGATTGCCATTATGTTGGATTCTGGAGGTAGGAAAGTATATGAGAAGCTCAGAAATTTTCATATAGAGTTAGAAATATAAACATGTAACATCATATAGTGTGGTTAGCACAATAATATGAGTGTTTTTTTGAACATTTTATTTTTTTATTTTCACTTTTATTAGTACATGTTTGTGTACATAATGATTACACTCACTGAAGGGGATTGATACATGTACATATCATGTTTAAGTTTCCTTTTTCCTCCTTTTATTTTTCCAGCATCAATTCATTTATTTATAAGACCTTATAAAATTAACTATATATACAGATTGAAAACCAGACTAATAGGCCAAAGAACGCATAAAACATGTAAAACAATTGAACTAAGTCAAGATACACTTTTAGATACATTGTCTGCACTGGATTACAATACCTTTGTCTTTTTCTCTTTTTTCCTATGTTATTTTGTACTTACATACGTTGAGTTTTTCATATAAGAGAAACTATATGATATTTAAGTTTGTGTGTCTGAGTTAGTTTACTTAACATTATGGTCTCAAGGTGCATCCATTTTTGTACAAATGACTCATGTTTATGCCTTATATGGCAGAGTAGTTCTCCACAGTGTATAAATACCATATTTTTTTTACCTATTCATTGGTTGATGGATATATAGGCTGTTTCCAAGATTTAGCATTATGGATTGTGCTGCTGTAAACATGGGTATACATACACCACTGTAGTTATGATGTCTTTAACTCTTTTGGGAGGATACCTAAAAAGGTAATAATAGCTAGGTAAAATGGAATTTCTACTTTTAATTTTTTTGAGGACTCTCCATATTGATTTCCATAGTAGTTTTATCAGTTTACAGTCCCACCAACAATGGAGGTTTCCTTTCTCCCCACAGCCTCATCAGCATTTATTTGTTGATTTCTTGACGGCAGCCATTCTATCTGGAGTGAGATGGAATCTCAGTGTTGTTTTAATTTGCATTTCTCAAATGGCCAGTGATGTTGAACATATTTTTTCATGTAATTATTGACTGTTTGTATTTCTTCATCTGAGAAGTGTTTATTCACTTTAGATGCCTGTTTTTTAATTGGGTCTTTAAATTTGGGAAGTCTAATTTTTTTGAGTTCCTTATATATTCTAAATATTAGTCCTTTGTCCAAGGAGTAGCTGGCAAAAATTTATTTCCCATTCTGTAAATTCTCTCTTCATTGTTAGTGGTTTTCTTTGCTGTGCAGAAGATCCCCCCCATTAAATTTATTGGTACATTTTGGGTATAAAATACATTTACATACATCATTGGAATCTTGTACCATTACATGAGTATCTTGGTTCTTACTTTTTTCCCCCTCCCCTGCCCTCCCTTTACCCCCTCCACCCTGCCCTGTTTGCAAAGATTTTGTTTCCATTTTTTTCCTTTTCTCATAGTTTTTCTTTTCCCTTTTTTCCGTTCCCCCACCCCTCCCATTTCCCCTGCTCCTTTAGACCTTTACTTTCTATTACACATTATCATATATACATTTTTTTTTTGTAGCGGGGATCAAACTTGGGTCCTTGCGCTTGCAAGGCAGGCGGCAGAAGCACTGAGCTAAACCCCT